AACAGCTATATTTTATCCATGTTATGCAACCATGACGACAACACTGAAACACTCCTTCCAGTTTCAAATCAGATGCAATTACACAGGATTGTTACAGTGACACACCCCCACCATCCTGAGTCATTTGGTACTCACCCGACATCCTATCTAGTATTTATAACACTTATCTCCCACACAGCAAAATACTTTGGAAGAGAAAGGTAATCAGTTCTGTTAAAAAATATGCCAGTTGGGAACATACTCAATACCTGCTGCCTGTTTATTCATAGCTTGCCAGTACTTAAGGGATCTGTCATCAAGATATTTAGGAAGTCACTCCTTTTAAGACAGACTAAGTATGACTTGATTCTGCTACTCTTCTTTCCCCTTTCATTCCTTCCTGTCTTTTTAATTACTTTATTTGCTAAGTGCACATTTTGTTAGAGAAATTTAGCAAAGTCTACCCTAAGGACAAACCTGGGTAAGAAGCGCATCATGATGTCACCATCCCCAGTAGCTGCAGCTGCTCCAGCTGTACTATCTGCATAGGATCCTGCGCCAGCTATTGGAGAATCTCCTACACGGCTGTAGAGAACAATGGAAAAAAAGAAACAACTGGAAACTATAGAAAACTGTAATTTACTAATTCCAGTGGGATTATGTTAATGTAATAGCTCTTGGCCTGATACTGGCATACTATTAACTTAGTCACCTTACTACCTCCAGTTGGGTTAGCATTAAACACACAGGAGGACAAAACAAGTACAGAGGTTCACTTCACTTTTCTTAAAACTATTGATGAAAGTGATAACATGACTGACCTGAGGCTTAATCCACCTGCAATGCACAAATTTTTGTTATGATACCGACTGCAGTTAGGGCAGTAAGGTTTAATCAGTGGGCAACAGTAAGCAGCTGGGGACATCTGTATACTCAATAACTTGTTGCTAAATCCGGAAGTTGCCTGACTCAGTTGACAGACATGATTCCTAACTGTGTAGGAAAAAAAATAAATAAATCTTACAGCCTTTAGGATAAGCTTAGGAGAGGAAATGAGGTGGGAAAAAACATTTTTAATAAAACCAGAGATACTAACCCTGGAATTTTGTGTACAGCACCATTAGTGGATGTCCCAGAAGCAACAGTTCCACTCCCACCGATTACAACCATACCTAAAATTCTCAACAGGGATGAAACATATTAAAAAACACTCTTAAGAAATGTATTAAGTTGGCACTATGGTTATCAAACAAAGCCACATACCCAAACTATTGAAATTAATGAAATCCTGAAATACAAAAAAGTAAGACTCTTAAAAAAACCCAAGTTCTTTTAAAAACACATTTGGTAACTTTTTGGATGTATTACATGAGCTTAAAAAGAAATCTAAACCAGTGAGTGCCATACTGCTCAGTGTCATACTGCCCACATCTCCTGATATGCACCTGTGTTAATCTGTAGAGACCAAGTACCTGGTGTCACCACATCCTGTACCAGTACCATCAGAAAAGCACTATCTGGAAATTTTAAGTGGTGCTCGAAGGAGGTGACAAAAAGAAATAAAAGTCAGAAGGTTGAGTTTATATTTGGCAGAAGGTGAAATACTGCCTACCAAAGTAACAAAAATTACATGACGGGATCAAATGTATGGATGAGCCTATCACTTACTCATTTTGTGCTGATAAGGAAACCACTGTCTTATATTAGAGAAGCTTAGATTACCACTTTGAAAAGGATTTGGGATCAGCTGCTTCTCCACAGAGCAAGCCTTCACCTCATTAAAGATAGGGCAGGAATTGCTGTTGGCATCAAGCTCCACTGCAAAGCAAGAGCCAAGAAGCAGAATTCAGAACAGAATTCTTATTCTCCGACCTCACTAAGCAGTACCTCCTTCTCATAGAAATGCTTCCTGACCAGGAGAAGCTAAAAGCATAGAGGCACTGACTCTATGACCAGCATTTACCTCTGCAAAGAGACTAAAAGGTCATCAGTTCCTATCAACTTCCCAAATGCTTTCTCATATTAAGACTCTTCTCATAATGTGTTAGCCACAGAGGTATTTCATATATAAAACAACAGAGTGGGAGAACTGGAAGTACAAATGCAGAGTGCCATCATTTACTATAAAACAGCTTAGGACTACTTAATGATACATCAATTCCTGAATTGTATTTAGCAGATTCCACTCTAATCCTGACACTCCACAATTTCTGAGTTTTCTAGCATACTAAAGACTGTATATCCCAGTAAAGAAAGCTACCTAGCAATTTAAGAATTTGGTAGGTTGCCTGACTTCTGTAGAACATTATTAGGTTATTAGTCGGGTGGACTGGAAGAAAAGAAGACAGATTCACACTTGAAACAACTTCTTAATTCTTGGTATTGCAAATACTGTCAAGCAGAAAGTTCTGAATTGCTGAACAGAGAAAACTCAAAACTAAACAAAAAAGTGCAAGTTTCAAGACTAGACAGTATAAAGATTTGAAAGACATAACTCTTTTAACCACTCCAGTCCTCTGTCTGATTGGCTAATTAATCAGCTTATATGCTTAGCAATTAACAGTCCTCAATCAGTAAACTTAGAAGTTTTTGGGACTACTACTGCTAATCTGTTTTAAGCATAGTAGTTTCTGTAAAAATGTATTGATTTAGTCTAAAGCCAGAATAGAAGTAACATGAAAATAAGCTTTAATTTGTAAGTTCAAGGACTGCTTGACAAACATTACTTTTGGTTGACAACAGGACTACCTGTTTACCCATTTCTTCCACCACAGCAAAGACTTTTAAGTTGGTTTGAGAGCTACAGGGGACACTTGACCTAAGTTAACCATAATAAAGATAAAAATAAAGGGGAAAAAATGAAGGAAGTGGTTGTGCAGCTAGTGCACTGGAGAAAAAACAACCCCAAAAACGAAATCCTACTTATAGGTACTCCAGGCTAACGCATAAGAACAGAATCTTGGACCCACTGTAAACAGGAAATAATGCCTATATGAAATACTTTTCTTCAAACATTTAATACATAAGGGAATGAGAAAAAATAAATCAGCATGAGAGTTTTCAAAAGTTGTTTACCGATAGTGTCATGATCATGAACACTTCTTCGTGAGAGGGTCTGTTTTTCTTTGAAAACTACTTTTTCAGGCCGTTTGTATGGTCCACAGGATTTTGCAGAGTCTGGTACCACATTCTGTAATTATTTTGTGATTTGCATGAATGTCACATTACAATTAATTGCAGATAAATTTAAAAATACTACAATCAATACCTACAATTTACTACACACGTATCAGATTCCCAATACTTAAATTACACAGCTGTACTGTAATCCAACAAGTTTTTTTGCTTAAAGAACAAAGATTGACTTCTGGTATTATATGGTACATTATTGTATAGCAAAAAAGTTTTTCCTACTTGAAAGTTATGTTTTCAAATTAAAATTCTTCTTTGCTCAATTCACTGGTAAAAAAACCAAACTCAATCTTCAGAAAAATGAAGAATATTTGTTAAGATAAAAAAGCAACCAGATTAACTGAGCTTGCTCTACTAATGTCAGGTTAGTATTATCAAATCAGTAATATAGTAAAAATATTTTCCTAACTGAAAACCAGAACATGTACTGAATTAAAATGGTTTTCCCACAAATGGTTAAACAACAGCAGTGTTTCATAACCAAGAAATAATGAAGATAGTGTACAAACATGTAGAAATCTGCAAACATCAATCCCAAGAAAAAGAAAAAAAAACCCCAAGCAACAAACCAACCTCACCACAACAGGCACGTTTAATGGACAGCCACACTAATTTGATGTGTTCACAGATCTGCATAACTGAATTCTGCTACTTGAGGATGTTAATTGCTACTGTAAAAATTTCTGTCAGAAATTTATACATGTATAAATTAAATTTATACATAAAAAAATAGATGCACTGCTTTATTTAGTTTGAGAAGTCCTGTCCAAATTTAAAGCTAAAAAAAAAAATTAATTCTCACACCAAAACAGTACTGCAGCAAGGTCAAAACCAGCAAGATCCAAGAAATAGGAGTTAGACACATCCTGTGTCTACCAAATGCTTGGTTATTCCAAGTTTGTTCTGCTTAATAAGAAAAACATTTTTTTTAAATTATACTTCGCTTGTAAAAGACAGCTTCAATGTAAGCTGAAAGGAAGAAGTCAAGCTACATTACTGGCTTTCTAATCCCTCCCCTTCACCACCAGCACTGTACTGTACCTTCCAATAGTTTGGCTGACAGCTTTGATTAAGCCAATTTGAATACATCAAAAGAGATTTTTGGGTAGTTAAATCTTCATATGGAAACCCCATTCTTACAGCAAACAGGGAGGCTTGAAAAGCAACAACAAAACAAAAAGCATTAATTTATTCACATTTTTATATATTTTACAATAATGCATTCATGTAATGTTATCTAGAAATCAAGAATTTTTACTTTCTCTATGGAGATGAGAAACACGTCTTTGTGGAGCAGTATCAGTCATTATAGTGATGTACAACTGCAGTAACAAACTCTCCCTACATTGGCAGTATCAAATTTTCTCAATTCACTATAACCATGTTACACATCTAAGTTTTACCATTGAAAAAGAAACAAATTCAACTGTGTTAAGCAACTAGACACAACCTGCAGCAACAGTGGCCTGGGCTGTGCATGTCATGGAAATATTTAAATAAATTATATAAATAATAGTATATTTTCCTTAAAAAGCTAGTATTTTATGAAACATAAATAAAAAAGCAGCATTTGTCCGTAAAACAATCATACTTGCATAAATCAATTCCCCAGTTTACATCTTATTAAACCTCTTTCTTGAAGCTTTAAAAGTGACTGCTTCCTTTTCAAAAATGAATATAGGACATGTCAAGGGAGCAAAGGAAATACCAACACAAGCAATGAAAGAATGCTGCACTTCTCAAAATGGCTTTTATAGTTAGGGAGAGGGAAAAGAAAAAAAGATTTACTGTTCTTTCATCTTTTAGTTGTAGATACCTTTGATACGACATAGTAGCAGATACTGTTGCCAGTTCAGATGCTTGAACAATTTCAGTTACCAATCCTTGATAATAATGTCACTATAATAACACAGCTGAACAAGCTTCTCCAGACCAAGAATTAAGAAAAGCCTTCAATTATTTCTGGATAGTTTTTCCATTTTTTCTAACAAACTAATACAATTAAAGTCTCTTTGCATTAAGAGCAAAAGAAAAGTGACAGCTTCAATTACACACGTTTATTTTCCCATTTCTAGAACAAACAGCTTTGGGGTTTTTATTAAGGTTAAATTGTGCTTGTGCACGTTTGTCAGTCATTCTTTCATGACTTTTGAAGCCTTTTTTCTATTCCAGGAAGCAGAGTTAGTTATTTTTACTCTCTGAACTTTTTTCTTGGACTATCGGTCTAAGTATTGCAAGGACAAAAAGGAAAAAGGTCAGACACACTGCGATTATGAAGCTTTCCTATCTATTGGACACAAACCTGAAAACTTCTTGGCAGATGATAACCAAAATCATTCTTTTTCTCTCTCACTTGTAATCGCTCTGCACTCAATGTCCCTCACCAGCTGCAGTTCTACATTGGTGTATGTGGCCTTTATTGCCAGTTTTCTATGACCTAACCTAAAGAAATCAGGCAGTGAAGGCAGGAAGTAGCTCTTTTAACACTGCAATAAGTCATCAGTGTGGTTAGCTGTTCAACAAAAGCAATACCAACTCATTTTTATGTAGACCACTGTCATTATAAAACTTAGCTGTAAAAACACACCAGCTTTGTTTTTATTCTGGCTTCTATCTGCCAGAGTAAAAGAAGACATCAGGTTTGAACTGTGACATCTTTTGTTTGAGATAGGTCTTATTACCACCGTCATCCTCTTCAGAGCTCAATATAGCTTAAACTTTAACCATAGCTCAATTAGCTAAAAACTAGTCACACAATCACCTTCCTCATGCAGTATGATACAATGGCTTCTTCATTTCCCCAATGTGAATTATTTCCAAAGCCTCTTTTTGCATGGTATTTGGTGTTTTTTTTTGTTGTGCTTTTTTGTTTTGGTTTGGATTTTTTTTGGTTGTCTTTTTTCTGGTTGGTTTTAGTTTTTTTTTTTCAAATAATGCAATTTAGTAAATTTTCACTTACTGAGAAGATAATGGAACAACTAGTCCTGGAAACCATTTCCAAGCTCATGAACCCCAGGAAGGATGGAGTATTCAGCATGGCTTCAAAAAAGGAAGCCATCCTTGAGCAGCCTGCTAACCATCTATGATGAGCCAACTGACTTGGCAGATGAGGAGAGAGAAGCAGATATTGTCTACCTTGACTACCATAAGACTTTTGACATTGTCTCCCTTAGGATCCTTAGAGAAGATGATGAATTTTTGGCTGGACAAACAGTGATGTGGACTGTAAACTAGCTGAAGGGCTGAGCTCAGTGAGTGGTGACCAATGGTATGAAGTTTAGTTCAAGCCAGTAACAAGCAGTGTACCACTGGGGTCAATATACTGTTCAATATCTTCATTAATGATCTGGATGATAAGAGAGAATGTAGGTATCCTCAGCAAATTTTGCAGATGATATAAAACTAGGAGGAGTGGCATTATGCTGGCATTCAAAGTGATCTCGACAGGCTGGAAAAATGGACTGATCCGAACCTCATGCAGTTAGACAAAGAAATGCAAAGTTCTGCACCTGGGGGGAAACAACCTCATGCACCAGTACCTGCTGCGGCCACCCCGTCGTAAAGCAGCTTGTCTGGAAAGGACGCGGTTCTGAGGGGCAGCAAGCTGAATGTCAGCCAGCAATATGCCCTTGCAGCAAAAGCAGGTAAGAGTGTAGGTTACACTCCAGGATTAGGACAGGTGCTGCAAGCAGGTTGAGGGAGATGATCCTTCCCCTCTACTCAGCACTGGAGAGGCCACACCTGGAGTACTGTGTTCAATTCTGGGCTCCCCAGTACAAAAGACACAGGGACACACTGGAAGTCCAGCAAAGGGCTACAAAGATGATTAAGGGACAGGAGCACCTCTGTTACGAGAAATGGCTGGGAAAGCTGGGACTATGGGACTGTTCAGCCTGGAGAAGACAAGGCTCTGGGGGATCTCGTCAGTGTTAGAACATCTGAAGGGAGGGTATAAAGAAGACACAGTCCAGCCCTTTTCAGCCTCCTTCCTTAGAGATATTCATAAGCCATCTGGACATGATCCTGGACAACCAGCTCTAGGAGGCCCTACACAAGCAGGGGGTTGAACCAGAAAAACTCAAGGCCCTGCCAACCTCAATCATTCTGTCACTCCACTAAGGAACTCTTCCTTAAGTTCTCTATGTACCAAAGGTTTCAAAATACTTAAACTTCAATTTCTTACTCAAATTAAAGAGAACCATGAAGACCGTTCAGGTGCCATGACACTCTTAACAGATTCCATCAATGTTTTTAACACTGAAAATGAGAATTTTTACTTCCATTAAAATTTTTACTGCCAGGAACAACGTACTGCTTACACATCTAAAAATGATCAACTAAACAAAACTAAGGTGTTCTACAGTTCACCTCTTCATCTCTAGCATCAACCACTTATAGAAACAGAATTTTAGGAGACAGGCAGACTTTTCTGGATCATATCACTAAAATATCAAAATAAAAGTGCATTTTAGTCTGCAATTTTCAATTTAGTGCAATAAATAATAAACCCAGCAATTTTGCATCTTGAATAAAAAAGCCTGCAGAGACTATACACATTTATATTAAAAGGTTTTACTATTCTACCTAGCTTTTCTGGTGTAAATATTTTTATTTAGAAAATAAACTATGTTTTTTCTTACATGCTGACTTGAAGGTTCAAATATAATCTCCTGAAGCTATAGCTCTGTTTTCTTTTTATCAGTCTTCACCTGGTAAAGACAACTATAGTTTCCAATATCCAAGTTCCTACTTGCACAGAAAACACATTCCTTCACTGCTTTGATTTATTCATAACATCTATCACCATCTCCAATTTTTACTCAAATATGTCTTCAGCTTTCCTGTCTTTCTTTATCCACTACTGCTAGACAGCTTGTTCTGAGGAAGTTCTCACTGACTCAGCAAGGACTCAGCATAACTGCCTTGCCCACAGGACTCCATTATGAAAAAAGCTATCTTCTTAGGCTAGAAATTGTATTGTGAATCAACACTTTAATTCTCCCATTTCTTTCCTTCCCTACCTTTTCTGCTTATTCTACCAATCAAAAGTTAAAAATATTTTCATAATTATCAATGATGGGGAAAGGAGTATTATGAGCATTTTATAGAATCATCATAGAATCACAGAATGTCTTCACTTGGAAGGTACCTCTAAAGGTCATCTAGTCCAACCTCCCTACAATAAGCAGGGACATCTCACACTACACAAGACTGCCCAAAGCCCCATCAAGCCTCTTCTCTAGCATGTCTTCCCCCAGCCTGTATTTGTATGTCTGGTTGCCCCAGCCCAGGTGCAGGATCCCGCACTTTTGAAACTCATGAGGTTTGCCTGGGCTCACTTCTCCAGCTTGTCCAGGTCCTTCCGGATGGCATCCCATCCCTCTGGTGTATCAACCGCACCACTCAGCTCGTGCCCTTGGCCATACTTGCTGAGGGTGTTCTCAATGCCACAACCAATATTATTAATGAAGATATTCAACAACACTGGTCCCAGTATAGGCCCCTGAGGGACACCATTGGTCACCATCTTCCATCTGGACATCAAGCCATTGACCGCTACTCTCTGGATTCTTCCTCTTCCATTTAAATGTGACCAATTTTTTTTTCAGCATCACCTGTAAAATCTCTTACCAAAGCCATTTGCAACCTACTCATAGCCAACTGCTTAAAAGAAATAAAATCTGCAAAGGTATCTCTCTTTTCAGACCTTCTGAGAAATGCATTTCTGAATTATTTTCCTAGATTCATTTGATTGTCAGGGAATCCTTCCACTTATATTACCAAGCTTAAAACATTGCAATTTTAACAGAAGGTGTTTTAACGAAGAGGACATGACTTGGAAACACTTGAAGGAATATTACCTGATTCTCCCACTAATAATGTATGCTTAGTGTATTCCATGACCTTTCGTGCTACACCAATTGCATTTTTTACACGTCTGAGATCTGCAACTGCTCCAACCTCCATAGTGTTGCTGGAAACAAGAAATATTGAAAACTTACTAAAAATACAACAATAATTGTACATTTTATTAGACAAAATCTGTTCTCATCTAAATTAGAAAGCTTGTTAACATATTGCTTTAATTGTTCTATGCCAGAGACAGATAGCATCATACTAGTAGGGAAAAGCTTCACACATGTATAGTTTCCTTTCACAGGCATGGGGATGTTGTTCAAGTAATAACAATTCCACCTACAGCAATATTTCCAGTAGAGGAACAATTTTGTTACAAAACCTCATAACATGAACCACACACTTGCAATTACTTTTTAATTAGGACAGCTTTAAATGGTAAAGAAAGTACAGAAAACAATTTCTCCAGAAATGAAAAATTTATGGAATGAATGTAAAGCAAAAGCTTACAATGCTACAAATCACCTGCTTTGCAACTGCAATCTAGAGCTGGATTACTGCACTTCATGTAAAGATACAACAACAAACATGCTTAGCTACTCTTCCATAACATAGGTACCTTTCCTAGTTCTCACAGTTAACATATATAACTTGTCCCACAGTCAGCCCTAAACCCAACAAAATCTCTGTAACAACCCTTACATTAAAGTGTGCTAAAATGACAGGGATCATTCTCTCCACGTAGTTTTCTTACCCATCCATAATCATTGCGTCCAGTGTTGTTTCTCCACTTTCATCTGGGCTTCCTCCATATCCCACACTCCCGTCACATTGGTCAATCTCACACTGACCACAGCCTTTCTCAACAGCATCCAGCTCAGAACCCCCCATATGTAATACTCTCCAAGCTGCAATCAACACAGATAATTAGATGTCACCAGTGAGAACAAGCTCCACTACTGCTTTAAAGAATATTTTAAAGATAGACATCATGAAGAAGGGCTATATCAGTGGACAAAAAAAGTAAACTATAACTCATAGATGAAATGAAGTCATAACAGAAATATCTTCAAAAGAATATAAAGCATAACTTTTCTAAATACTGGGGTTTTTTAAAATATCTGATTAGTGTTTCTAACTGAGAAACAAAGTTTTTTTCTGACTGGGAAGGTGTAAATTTACTGACAACCATCACGACTTCCACGTATTAAATAACCTCCTCTGCACAGAACCAACCATTACTTTATTAAAGCCTTTTTTGGGGAAGGAGAGAGGGAAGCAAAACTTGTCTCTACAAAAAATAAAACGTTGTAAGAAGCAGCCCTCAAAACCTTAATATGAGACTACCAAGAGTCCAGCTGCAGAAAAAAAAATTAAACATCTACACCATAGTGATCTAAAAGATCTAAACCTACAACAGTGACAACATAAGAACAAAAAGAAAATGGAAACAATATACAAGAAAATATAGTCTCCACATGCTCCTCTTCAACTCTTAATCTTCTGCTCTCTAGGACTTAGTTTATGGTGCTGTTTTGTAAGACTCAGAGCATGCCTTGTGACATGACTTGAATAAACTGGGCCTGAAGGCCTTGAACATAGGACACTACATAAGGCTGGACCTTAGGCAAAATTTTCCAAGATGCCTGACCACTGCTGCCACTGACAGCTGCAATCCTGCTTCCCCTGCCTCATGCTGACTCTGGTGTTCCATCATCTGCCAGACCCAGCACATGGGAGGCAGCAGAAATATACAGTCCAACTCTTTTTGGCAGAAGTAAACTTCACACTGTATCAACCATCATAAGAAGCCTCATTTCCACAAATGCTGCATGCAACTGCATGAAACTGCCTTTACCAAGGAAAAAGTAAGATTTAATACCTAGCATCCAACTCCACATGTATTTGCCTTTATAATAAACTCCACTGTGAGGACTACTGCTCCTATTACCTTTATTGCTGTCAGTAGCCTTAATACAAGCTTTCAAAAGCTGCAAAGGAAGGGCCTTGCAGTTTTCATGGCTGTATTTCACTTATGATCCATAAAAGGCTCCACAGGTAACCAATTTCATTAGCAAGGCTTCCCATATAAGGTGTTACTTAAAATGCAACTATGCTAAAATAGTTTATGAGTCTTTTAAAATCAGTATCAGTAACCCTGGTTTGACTGTCAATAACACATCACAAAACAACACAGAGCTCTAAGTGTAATATTCAGAACTATCTAAAACTTTGGGGCAACAATAAATCTCAGAAGGGCACCACGGAAAATAAATCACCTTGCAGACAGGCACAAGAGTGTGAACCACCATATTACATTATTGGCAAAAGTATGTTTTTAATCTACCTTTTCTGTAGCTCATAGCCCAACCCCCCACAGCCTTTTTTTTTTTCCCTCCTTCAATCGCTTCTCCCTCAGCCTTGATAGTTAAACCATTTGCTTGCAGGCTCTCAGATAACACCAGGGCTCAGCACCATCACTGGAAACGCAAGCTGACGAGGCTTTGCCCCCTCCCACACGAAGGCAACCTGGCACCCCAGTGCCCAGCCAAGCTCCCCGGGGCCCGACAAAGGCCCTTTCCAAACTGGCAGAGACACCTCACGCAGTGTCCCTGCCAGACCTGGGGCTCTCTCTGACCCCTGAGGGGAGCAGGCAGCCAGGAGGGAGCCCAGGCCTGCTGCAGCCAGTGAAGTCTCACAGATCACACAGAACCACCAAGGCTGGAAAAGACCTTCAAGATCAGCAAGTCCAGCCTATGAGCAACACCACCACATTGGTTAGACCATGGCACTAAGTGCCACATCCAGCGTTTTCTGGAACACATCCAGGGACGGTGCCTCCTCCGCTTCCCTGGGAAGTCCATTCCAATGTCTAATCACCCTCTCTGTGAGGAAGTGCTTCCTAATATCCAACGTAAATCTCGCCTGGAGAAGCTTAAGGCCATGCCCTTTTGTCTTGTTGCTAGTTGCCTGGAAAAAGGGCCCAGCCCCACCTGACTGCAGCCTCCCTTCAGGTAGCTGAAGAGAGAGATGAGGTCCCCCTGAGTCTCCTCCAGGCTAACAACCCCACGGAAGCGGGGTCACAGCCTGCTTCTTCCTGCCACACGAAACCGCGTTCTAGCCTCAGAG